TATATATATATATAATACTTACACATAATTTGAAAAACTAGTTATTAAGAAGTATTCAAGTTATACATTGTCAAAGAGTTAAAGTATGCCATACGCTTACTACTAATATTAAAAACAAACTACACACTTATACATAAGAAACAAACTATATTAAAACATTCAACATTTAAAATTTAAAAACAAGATCTATCAAGTACAAATGTAGAGCGTCTACTGAAGTATTACAATGTTAATAATTAGTAAAAAGTCGCGTTAAACTTTTAGTTCAAATCTTAAACCTTTTTATTTTAGTGATTAACTCTAAACCTATAATAAAAATATAAAAATAATAATATATAATAATTAATCAATTAAACTAAATAAAATTAAATTTTCAACATCAAAATTTATAATATAGTCCTAACTTACTAGATTATTTTCTATCCATTTGAACTAATGATCAAAATCAATAAAAAAAAAATAATTTAAATTGTTTCATATTCATCAAATTTTCGAATTGATTCGGATTTGTTATCATCTCTATCAAATATAGCTAACTTAATCCAACTAACTGAGTGATGGGATCAGAATTATTGATAATTTAGGATTCCTCTCATGAGTGGGTTAACACTTAAGATGAACAATTGATGATGCCAAAACCCACTATCTTAATAATGGAGAGAGGGAAAAGTGCAGCAAGTTCTAGGCAAGTCTTTTATCCGAAGAGTGATATTTTTAACTCATTGTTGGATGGAATTAACGAGAAATGGCCATATTGGACCCACCATTTACACGTAGCCCAATGAGTTGGCAATGAAATTAAAACAATGATTAGAGTATGATATTATTGGAATAGGGTCAAAGAGAAGGAAACAGAGGTAATATGAATAAGAGTGCCATGGTTTCAGTGCCTTGTCTCACTACACAACACTAGCATGTCCATGTGCATGTGCTGCTACGTCGAGCATTGGTGGATTATTCAATTGACAAGCATATGCACATGCCATGCACATTATCACCATATGAACTTGGGAAACGACGCAGACACCTGAGAAATAGGGGGTCCTAGGTCTCTCCCTTTATCTAGCCTCCTCCAATCAAATTTACTGCCACTATACCCTCACCATTGGCTCCTATTCACTAGCTCTAGGGTTCTTCCTCCATTTTACTACATTTGTCAAAAAAATATAAGTTGGTGGGACAATATTTGAATAGTTTACACTATCTTTCAAATATAAATCACTACGTATCTAAGTTTATTAAAATATTTTAAAAGGTATACCAACAATCATTTTTGTCAATTATAAATTATTATATGTATATAAGTTTATTAAAATATTCTAAAAGTTATACCAACAATCACCTTTTTTAATTGGTTGACCATATTAAAATTTTTACACTAACAATATGTATATGATGATCATTAACTCATGATATTTAAAATAAATTATATTAATCATATTTTAAGGTTTAATAATAAAATTAATTTCTTAACTTTTTATACGGTTAACATGTTAGAAATCGTAATTGATATTACACTAACTTTTATGTTAATTATTATAAAAACTAAACACTACTGTAATTTCTCTTATTACATGCGATTTTTCCTACGAATTTTTATGAAAAATTTGCAGGAAATGTTGTTCTTACAAATTTTTCTGTGAAATTTTATCTGCAGATAATACCTTCGTGAATAATATATTTTTGCGAAGTTTAAAATTTGCAGGAAATTTTCCTGCGAAAAAAATTTGCAAGGAAAGTTTCTTGCAAAAAAAAAAATTCGCAAGAAAATTCACAGAAAAGTTTTGTACGAATTTCTTCGCAAAAAATTCTGCAGGAATATTTTTTACGAAAAAAATTAAAGAAATTACTATAAATTCTATCAATAATTCTTC